ATTGGTTATTCTTAATTTTCGCTTGAGGACGGGACAGGGCTTGTACCTTAATTCTTTTATGTAGCGAAGCAATCACTTTTTTTTTTTAAATAATTATAATTTAAGCCCTACTTCTGTATGGAGCACTGTTTTTTTTTAAATAAAAACAAAAATAAGAAAGAACTCTGGATTATTTACCTGACATGTTCTTCCGTGTATTTCTACATACCTGCGCACACAGCCACACGCACACACACACACACACACACACACACACACACATATATATATATATATATATATATATATGAAGAAATATAGTTTTACGGTGTGCTATATTTATGGGATAAGGTGATTAATATCAGAGATACAGCGTATGTAAATGTAAATATAAAAGTGATCATTGAAGTCAACACTGAGAGGCGAGAGGCTGTTTCATGCAAGACGCAATCATCAGGCAGCCTGACGATTTAGCATGAAACAGCCTGTTGCCTCTGATGTATTGACTTCAATGGTCTCTTTTTATATACATTTACATTTACACACACACATATATTTATATATATATATATATATATATATATATATATATATATATATATATATATAAACCAGTATTATAACGTAACCTAATATTTATACTATAGTACAGAGTCACCTTTATGTTGAATATATTGTAATGATAGGAAATAACAAGTGGGACGTATATCCTCTCGACTTTCTCTTGTTTCTCTACTTAACGTTTGTTCTTCCTTTTTCATTCACATGCATATGAGCATATAGAGATAATTCTCTCTCTCTACTATATATATATATATATATATATATATATATATATATATATATATATATATATATATATATATATAATTATTGTGTTGAAAAGAAAGAGAAATGTATAAAATAAGAGTTTGTCTCGGTTTAGGTTTTCGACATTCATCGTCATTGTTATTTACAGTTCAGTTAAGAAAGGAAGATATAAGAAACAGTGCTCCTGGCTTCGTGAGTAACAAAAAGAAAACTATTTTCTCTGACTTTTTTTTCCTCCTAATTAGATTTCGCCATGAGTACAAATTTTCTTACGCACTTTAAGCAAATGCAATTGGACGTTTATAAAAAAAATAATCACAATGAAAGAAAACACGACAATTCTCGTTATTTTTTTTTTCTTTTATGTGTTTGACTGCAAACGGGTTTTTTTATGTTTGGTTATTTCTATTAATTCGTGTCTTGTCATTTTCTTCTTAGCTTCTCGTCTAGGTTAATTTGCTCTTCTTCATTTTAGTCTTTTGTATAATTCTGTCGCATTCGTCGAGGCAATTGGAAAATCCTTTAACTCATAGTAACATTGTCTACACTTAACAAACTCTGCGCCACGCATAAAACTAAGTTTATTTGTAAAGTTTTCACTGTATTTCAAGATAGTAAGAAATTTTTCTAGCATCGTTTGTAGTTGCAGCATCACGAGATCAGTATGCCATTGAGCTCGTAGTCTTGCCACATGTACAGCTGTATTAGCAGCGGTGCTTCCTGTGCAAGGTATCTTTACAGAGCCTAACCCTCTTCAGGCTGGTTTTGATATCAGTTTTTCCTTCTCCTAGACTGGTTTCCATCCTAAGCTCTAGAAATATCCTGCTATTTACTCATAGCAGGCGGAGAAGAGATTGAATTCCTCTGTCTTGCTCAATCTTTGCAGTTTACTATTGACTTATTTGGTACAGAATACAAAATTGTGCCATAAGGCCGAAAAAGGGAATTGGATGCAGGTTGGTCGTCACTTGCTATCCTATACCTAGCTAATGCGATTCCCAACCCATTCATTCCTTACAATTGACACACCACAAAAAACACATCTATCTTCAGTCAGTCCTCCATATGCCATAATACCGCGTACTCCCAGGGGGGGACCGACAAAACGCACCCCTTGACATAAAAATCTCATGATTTTAACATTTTAAATACATAAAAATCTAATAGTGATTTTCCAAACGTAGCTTAGATGTGGCACAAAGCCTAAAGTAGGGTGCACCCAGTGAGGATCTAACTCACTATTCAGTCGTAATTGTTCTAGCTCGACAAGCTTGCTAACCATTACGCCAAGTCGAGTTGACCAATAGTGATTTTCCAAGCGTAGCTTAGATGTGGCACAAGATGGAATGTATGGGGCACCCAGTAAGGATCAAACTCACTACTCAGTTGTAATTGTTCTAGTGAGACAAGCTTGCTAATCATTACACCACCTCGAGGTGCCCAAAGTGATTTTCCAACCGTAGCTTAGATGTGACACAAGGCCGAAAGTATGTGGCATCCAGTGAGAATCTAACTCACTATTCAGTCGTAATTGTTCTAGCTAGACAAGCTTGCTAACCATTACACCGCCTCGAGGTGCCCAAAGTGATTTTCCAAGAGTAGCTTAGATGTAGCACAAGGCCGAAAGTATGGGGCACCCAGTGAGGATCGAACTCACTACTCAGTCTAATTGTTCTATCGAGACAATCTTGCTAACCATTACACTGTTTTG